CTCAGCAGCAGCATTTCCAGGGACCACTAATCCAGTGCTGCAGATGTGCTCACACTGGTTGGCCTAAACAGACCCCTTCGCTAATGTCTTTCATCTACTGGATTATGAATAACACCACTGCTGACCAGCCAATAGAACGATAGGAACTGTTTTGTCAAGCAGGCAAAGAAGGACCTTGCCTCACGTATTAGAAAAGAAGAGAAGACATGGGATTGAGGAGACACATGACCACAGCATGCAAGTAAAAAGGATATTTAGATTATTTTTTTATGACAATGGTCAGTTAGAGGGGAGTGGGATGGAGTTCATATTTTTCCTAGAGTTGGGCTTAATATAATTATATACAGTGCATACAGAAAAGAATCACCCCCTTTTAAAATAATCATGTTTTGTTGCTTTGGAGGCTGAAATCAAGACTGACACAGTTTGTTTTATCTAGCTGTATTTGCTCAGTGCAACTTATACCATCCAAGTGAAAGATAGAACACCAACATGTAAGAAAAAAAAAAAATCAAAATCAAAAACAGAATCACTGATTTGGAAAAAAGATCACCCCCTTGTGTCAGTATTTTGTTGAACCACCTTTTCCTTTAATTACAGCCTTTAGTTTGTTGGGACATGTCTATACTAACTTTGCACATCTAGACTTTGCAATATTTGCCCACTCTTCTTTGCAGAACTGCCCAAATTCAGTTAAATTTGATGGTGACCATTTATGGACTGCAGTCTTCAAGTCATTTCACAGATTTTCAATGGGGTTTAAGTCTGGGCTCTGACTAGGCCATGCAAGGATATTCAAATTTTTCTCCTTCAAGCACTGTGTGGTCATTTTTGCTGTGTGCTTTTGGTCATTGTCATGTTGGAAGGTAAACCTTCTTCCCATTGACAACTTTCAGGTAGAGGGCAGCAGATTTTGCTCAAGAATTTGATGGTATTTTTCCCCATCTAATTTTCCCTCTATCCTAACAAGTGCCCCAGTCCCTGCTGTAGAGAAACATCCCCATAACAGGATATTACCACCTCCATGCTTTACTGTAGGAAATATGTTATTTGGATGGTTGGGTGTATTGCATTTCCACCAGACACATTGTTTGGTGTTGAGGCCAAATAATTCAATTTTAGTCTCATTTGACCATAACACCTTTTTTCATGTGGACTCTGAATCTTCAAAGTGCATTTTGGCAAAGCTCAGCCATGACTGCATATGGCCTTTCTGAAGGCTTTCTTCTAACAAACCCTTCCATACAAGCCGCATTTGTGGAGAATTTGTGGTGTTATCATATTCACACAATATCCACTCTGTCATAAATTCCTGCAACTGCTTCAGAGTTGCTGCAGGCCTCTTGGTATCTTGGTAGCCTCTCTAACCACTTTCCTCCTGGCTGTTTCATCCAGTTTGGAGAGATGTCCTGATCCAGGGAGAGTCTGTGTTGTACCAAATACCTTCCACTTCTTAATAATAGACTTTACTGTACTTCTAGGCATTGATAAAAAGTCTTTGCATTTTTTTATTCATCTCCTGACCTGTGCCTGTCCATAACGTTATCCTGGAGATCTTTTGACAGTGCCTTGCCACCCATAGTTGATTTTTTGCTTCAGGTGCACTACCAGGGACTGCAATGCTCAAGGAAAGCTCTTTTTATGTTGGGCAATCAAAATGACCACAGCTGATCAGAGTAGAAAGTCAAATGGCTCTGTGTGCCATTGAGAAGGTGATTAGCTACACCAGATTGAGTCATTTTTAGGAGGTAGGATGGTCTTTTTTTCCAACTCAGTGATTCTGTTTTTGAATTTTTTTTTTTTCTGACACATTGGTATTATATCTTTCACTTAGATGTTATAAGTTGCACTGAGTAAATACAGCTGGATAAAACTAAAACTGTGTGTATTCATTTCAGGATGCAAAGCAACAAAATGTGATTACTGTAAAGGGGGGGGGGGGTGATTCTTCTCTATTATATATATATATATATATATATATATATATATATATATATATATATACACACACACACACACACACACACACACACACACTGTATTGCCAAAAGTATTGGGACGCCTGCCTTTATACACACATGAACTTTAATGGCATCCCAGTCTTCGTCCATAGGGTTTAATATTGAGTTGGCCCACCCTCTGCAGCTATAACAGCTTCAACTCTTTTGGGAAGGCTGTCTACAAGGTTTATGAGTGTGTCTATGGGAATGTTTCTCCCACAATCACATTTGTGAGGTCAGGCACTGATATGTATAAATATATATATACACACACACACACACACACACACACACTATATAAAAGTATTGGGACACCCCTCCAAATCATTGGGTTTAGGTGTTCCAATCACCTTCATGGCCACAGGTGTATAAAATCAAGCACCTAGGCATGCAGACTGCTTCTACAAACAATTGTGAAAGAATGGGTCACTCTCAGGAGCTCAGTGAATTAGTGGTATTATAACAAAGTAAAAGCAACTGGGAACAACAGCAACTCAGCCACGAACAGGTAGGCCACGTAAAATGACAGAGCAGGGTCAGCACATGCTGAAGTGCATAGTGAGCAGAAGTCGACAACTGTCTGCAGAGTCAGTAGCTAAAGACCTCCAAACTGTGGCCTTCAGATTAGCACAACAGTGTAGAGAGCTTCATGGAATAGGTCTCCATGGCCAAGAAGCTGAATCCAAGCTTTACATCACCAAGTGCAATGCAAAGCGTCGGATACAGTGGTGTAAAAGCACACCACCACCGGACTCTAGTGCAGTGGAGACATGTTCTCTGGAGTAACGAATCACACTTCTATGTCTAGCAATCCAATGGATGCGTCTGGGTTTGGTGGTTGCCAGGAGAACGGTACTTGTCTGACTGCATTGTGCCAAGTGTAAAGTTTGGTGGAACAGGAATTACGGTGTAGGGTTGTTTTTCAGGAGTTGGGATTGGCCTCTTAGTTCCAGTGAAGGGAACTCTTAGGGCGGCAGAATACCAAGACATTTTGGACAATTTCATGCTCTCAACTTTGTGGAAACAGTTTGGGGATGGACCCAGCCTGTTCCAACATGACTATGCACCAGTGCACAAAGCAAGGTCAATAAAGACATGGATGAGTGAGTTTTGGGGTGGAGGAGCTTGACTGGCCTGCACAGAGTCCTGACCTCAACCCGATAGAACACCTTTGGGATGAATTAGAGCGAAGACTGCGAGCCAGGACTTCTCATCTGACATCAGTGCCTGACCTCACAAATGCGGTTTTGGAAGAAAGTTTAAACATTCCCATAGACACACTCCTAAACCTTGTGGACAACCTTTCCAGAAGAGTTGAAGCTGTTACAGCTGCAAAGGGTGGGCCAACTCAATATTCAACGCTACGGACTAAGACTGGGATGCCATTAAAGTTCATGTGTGTAAAGGCAGGCATCCCAATACTTTTGGCAATATATATATATTTTCAAGGAACCAAAAGTAAATGGACAATTGAATCAAAAGCTGTTTCATGGTCAGGTGTGGGCTACTCCATTATTTCTTCATCAATTAAGCATGTAAAAAAGTTGGAGTTGATTTTAAGTGTGGTATTTGCATTTGGAATCTATTGCTGTGAACCTACATCATGCGTTCAAAGGAGCTGTCCCTGAAAGTGAAAGAGACCATTGTAAGGCTTCAAAAATGAAACAAATCCATCACAGAGATAGCAGCAACATTAGGAGTGGCCAAATCAACAGTTTGGTGCATTCTGAGGAAAAAAGAACGCACTGGTGAGCTCAGCAACATAAAAAAGGCATGGATGTCCATGGAAGACAACAGTGGTGGATAATCACAAGATCCTCTCTATGGTAAAGTAAAACCCATTCACAACATCCAGACAAGTGAAGGGCACTTTTTAAAGAAAAGAAGTGGAATATTCTGCAATGGCCGAGTCAATCACCTGATCTCAACCAAATTGAGCATGCATTTCACTTGACGAAGGCAAAACTAAAGGCAGAAAGACCCACAAACCAAAAACAACTGAAGACAGCTGCAGTTAGAGCCTGGCGAAGCATCAGAAAGAAGGAAACCCAATCTTTGGTAATGTCCATGGGTTCCAGACTTCAGACAGTCATTGCCAGTAAAGGATTCTCAACAAAATAATGAAAATGAATATTTTATTTATGATTATATTTAGTTGTCCAATTACATTTGAGCCCCTGAAAATGGAGGGACTGTGTATAAAAATGGATGCAGCTCCTAAAATTTGTACTTGATATTTATGTTCAACCCCTTGAACTAAAGCTGAAAGTCTGCACTTTAAATTAATTTTGATTGTTTCATTTTAATTTATTCTAGTGGCATACAGAGCCAAATGTATGAAAATTGTGCCTGTGTCCAAATATATATGGACTTAACTGTGTATATATCGATTTATTTATTTATTTTAATTTAAGATATAAAAGCAACATCAACTTAATTGGTCTGTATATTTTCTCATTACCTATACAGGCTTTATTTGCTGGCTGCACATTGCCAACCTTACTATTTACAGCAAGTCTGTGATTGGAAATAAGGAAATAGTAGATTTTCAACAGATACCAATAACACAAAACACCCAGATGTTCCTATTGCCCAGGACTATGTGATACAAGCTTATGCTCAAGAGCACATGAGGGAGGTCGAGGGCAAAAGTGTTTTATGTCAAGAAAGATATTTTTTTCTCTCAAAATATTGTGATTTACAATGGCTAAAATGAGCCCTATTTATTTACATAATGTTGATTTTTAGAGATGGGTCCATTTGAAAAGAAATAAAAAGAGTTGCACCGCTTTAACTCCATAACATTGATCTTGCCTCAAAAGTGCCAGATTGCCTTTTTTACAAGCATGAATGCCTTTACTAGTCCAAAAATACTATTTGCTGTTCCTATACATTTGCACATACAGATTCTGTATTAATCACTTACATGATAGCTTCATAGTCTGCAGTAATCACCGCACCAGAGTAGACATTTCATTGCACATTTTATCAGTTTCTTACCACACTTGATGCTCTCCAGGCAAACAGGCAGTCCAGCTTGTGCTGCAGCAATTAATTTCAGAGCAATAAAAAACTGAGCTGGTCCAAAGTATCCAATATGTTTTGCGCCACACAGCTCTGTGATCTAGGAGAAGCAACAAAGAAGAACAAACGCAAAATGAGCAAGGATTTCTTAATATACAGCTCTGAAAACACTACACATCTAAAAGTGCTGAGTTTGCAAGTGAACAAAACCACAAAATGACAGCAATTTAGCCCTGTAAAAACACAATTATTGGTGGAATACAAGCATATTTTTAAATGTCACGGTCTATATTTGGAAGAATCTTTTATCCAACAACACAGTTTAGTAGTACAATTAACAGACGTTCAATAATATTGTTATTTCCTATGCATACATGTGACAAACTAGACACTGCAAGAGAAACTTTAGCATATAGTACAATTAAGTGAGGAAAGTTAAACTATCAAATTGGTAGCAACCTGTAGCTCCTTGCGCATACAGAAAGGGCTGCAAGGGCTGGGACAGTGGTAAAAATGGGAGATTGCTAGAACAGTAAAAGGGTAGACATTTATACACTTATTACTAGACAATTTTATTTTATTATTTTATAATACAGTTTAATGAAGCCCCAACTAGAAATGGTGCTCTACTGGACTTGGTAATCTCAAACAATATAGAGCGTATTGCAAATGTCTATACAGAAGAACATCTGGGAAACAATTACTGAGGAACTTCAACCTACCAAACAATTACCACCTCCCACTTCCCTTGTTTTCTTCTATGATCGAATACTTGCAAAACCAACGGATCCTGGACTGTCCTTTCTCCCCCTGATGTCCTCACCCAGGTAATGTTCTGCACTGCCATCTTCTTTTTTAATGCCAATTGGAGCTGGTTATCACTCCCTACCTCTTTTTCAATAACAAGCACATAGTGGAAAGATAAAAACACTTAAAAGGTAAATTCCAAGTATGGTATTGACCTCAATGGGTGAGTTTCACAGGCAGAGGCAGCTGGTTAAATTTGACAAAGTTAACACTGATCTCCATGTTTCATTTAATTTTAGTTTGTTTGGACTAAGCTGGTCCAAGCAACCTTTTTACTTCACTAATAGTTCCAGCAACTGTATAAACTGTATGTAGCCTGTAGCTACATACAGTATACAGGCTGTGTTCCAGCAGTGGAATGGAAATTTCCCACTGATCCCAGCGTATTGCACTTAGAACATTATTGAAATGTCACAAATGACATTCTATTTAGTTCTGTTCACACAGTGGCTTTATGATGCAGTAGTGTGGCACTGTAACCCAGTGGAAGTAAAGTTAGTAGCCTATTTTTTTCTACTTTTTTTCTACAACCTATGGTCTGTCAACTTCCATCATATATTAGAAACTCAGGTCATGTTATCAAGGTTTTAAAACAATACGTTTGGGAAGATGGATATAATTGGGCATCTTTGGATGTGTCCTCATTATATACTTCTATCCCCCATAGAGTTGGTTTATTAGCATTACAGCATTATTTATCTATATATCTCAACATGAATTTAAGACAGGCTCAATTTTTAGTGGATGGCATGGATTTTTACCTGAAACATAATTGTTTAACTTTTTTAGATCAATTTTATTTGCAGATAAATGGGACAGCAATATGCGCCAACTTTGCCCCTGGATATACCAATTTGGCAATGGGTTTTTGGGAGGAACAATACATTTGGGCCAACAATCCCTTTGCTAGATATATCATCTTTCATGGACGCTATATTAATAACATCCTAATTATCTAGCAGAGGCATGGTGGTCCTGACATGTTTTCGGCCTTTGTAGCCCATTGAAAATCATTTTACTCATGTTTTTGACCCGGATACCATTGTCTTTTTGGCCTTGTATTGTCTCAAGAAGATAAGGTTATATGTACTAGCAACCACACTAAACCAACAGGGGATAATTTTTACCTCCATTACTCTAGCTGCCACCATCTGTCTTGGAGAAAAACCATCTCCAGTGGACAATTCAATAGACTGAGGAATTGTTCAAAACTTGAGGTGTAAAAGTACAAGGGGAAATACTATCATCCAAATATAAAAAAAGGGTACCCTCCATCTTTGGTACGGAAAGCTTTTGTTAAATACCAAAATTCTCGGGATAACCCCACAAATACTTCTAGAAATCAGAATTATAACATTGTGAAATTTATTACGGGATATAACAACGCATACCGTAAGATCTCTAACATTGTAAACATTGGAACATCCTTCAGCTAGATCCTAAGTTGGCTCCCATCTTGCCTTCAGCTCCCCAGGTCACCTTTAGAGGGCATGTACGTTACAAAATATTTTGGCTCCTAGCAAATTTGCTAGGACGAAATGTGAGTAATATGGACATTTGGTCCTATTTGATCATAGAACCAGAGTTTTCCAATGTAGAAAAAGAGGATGTTTGACTTGTCAATTTATCAAGCATGGACGCTCTGAAATAATAGACAACAAAGGTAATTGTTTTCAGATAAAAATGTATAACTTGTGCTACAGATTTTGTAATATATTTGATATTCTGTCCATGCAATCTACTGTATGTGGGCCGTACTATACGCCCCTTACGGAAACGTATCGGTGAACATCATAGGCTTATAAAAGATGGATGTGATAACCACAGTGTTCCTCTGCATTTTCTTAAAATTTATGGCAAAAACTTTGCTTGCCTGGAGGTCATGGCTATTGAGCATATTAAGAATAGGTCATTGACATATAATGAAAGGTTCCCCCTCTTAAGCAAGAAGGAGACCTTTTGGATATTTAAATTAGGGTCCATGTCCCAAAATGGTCTAAATGAAGATCTTGAGATCCATAGTATTGGCTGAATAATGTGTGTACATTTTGCTTTTATTTAGTTTTATCTTAAAAACCAACTATTGGGTGAATATATATTACGCTTTCCTTTCCTTCCTTCTTTTCACATGTTGTATAATGTTTTAGAATAGTTTAATGTTGATCACTAATTTTTGGCATTCATTATTGGCACAATCTCTCATTAACTGTAATTGTGATGTGTGTACATGTATATATTTGGTTTATATGTATTATTTTAATATAGGACTGTGCATGGATCAATGTATTTATTCATCTAAGCTAGTTGTTAATGTACTTTTAATGTATTTTTATTGTACTTGTAGTAAGTTCTATTAGGCAGTGGTGGAATATCACGTCCACGCTCTGTCCCTTGTTTCTGCCAGCCCATTATATCAGCCCCTCTTATATAAGACAGCTAGTTGCCACTGTTATCCATGACTTGATAAAGCATATGCGTGCAAAACACGTTGTCGTGACAACTAGCTTGATTGCGGTTCGGTTGGTGGCCGACTTCCGCTTCCTCCCGGGACCCGGGAAGTCAGTTCAGGTGCACCATGGTCCCCAGCCTGGTCAGCTTGTTTCCATCATCAAGGAATCACCTTTGCAATTACCATCTACTCTGGTTTGGGGGCTCGTGCTGCCTAGGTGAGCGGATATTTAATCATGGCCACAACTGGTCATTAAATACTGCTGTTATTGGATGACTATACTGTTCTTTCATTGGAATAAATGTATATCTTTTATTGGAGCACACTGCTTGGTCATTACAACTACAAGCCTATGTCCTTGAGCGCTGTTCCTCTGGACTCCATTTATCACTGCTTTTAGGGCTCGTTCACACTTGGCTGTTTTACCAACGCTTGCCATACACCCCTATAGCGTTTGGCATGCGTTGGTCTGGCATTTGTGGAGCGGTTTTTAACGCTCCGCAAACGCCGCATGCGTGGTTTAGCGGCGGTTGCTAGGCATTTGCCAAGCATTAAAAACGCCCCACAAACGCCTATAATGCAGTTTGAATGGTGTTACCGCTCCGCAAACGCCCCGCAACCGCACTGCAAATGCCGGCCGGGCGTTTGCGGAGTGGCACCATAGACTAGAATAGGAGGCTTCAAAGCCTCCTGACTCGACCAGAGGCGTCTGTTTTGCCGTGACGCAAGCGCTCCCGTTAGAACAGCACCATGTGCTGTAATGGCAGAATTGGCAAAGCGTTTGGGAAGCGGTAAAAACACTTCCCAAATGCCTCTCTGCCGCCTGCACACAACGCTAGTGTGAATGTAGCCTTAGTGTGGCATCAGCAGCTGAGGATTGTTTGGTTTCTAACAAATTTGGGATCTTAGCGCTTGGATTTTTTGGTGTTTATTGTTCATGTTCCCTTTGGAAGTAAAGGCAAAACCTAACTAACTCTAAACCTACTTTCAGACACATTCTAAGCCTAAACTACCTAGTTCTATAAAAAAAAAAAAATTAAATCGCTGACATCACCCATAGAGTTACTCTGGGGCTTCTGTTGTCAGCTGCCTCTCCTACACACTCCTGCACATTAAGAGCCTCTGACAGCTCAGTGAGGGACCGGACCAGCTGCAGAACAGGTAAATATGGTGATTTATTTATTTACAAGGCTAGATAGACTAAGTTTAGAATGTTGCTGAGAGTAGGTTTAGAGTTAGTTAGGTATTGGCTTTACTTCCACACTAAGTATTGCATGCGGTCCTTTCTTTTAGTGCACACCACTGCAACTACAACATGGTGTAAACTGCCATCATAGGAAACAAGTCTGTCTTGTGCTAGACATTTTCACACCTGATGTGAGTGAGCTCTTAAAGTATAAATTAACCCACCTTATTGAATTCATGGATCTACAGGTCAATTTAAAAATAAAATCACCTTTAAAAAAATAATCAGAAGCCTACATTTTTTAATGTTTGAAATTCACAATGTCATGAGCAGCATTGTTCCTCTTTATTTTTGTTTTTTTACATTCTGAAGTAATGATGTCATGAGCTAAGGCTCAAAAGCAGCTGTTTATAACAGGTGGTGGAAGGTGCTAAAGCAGAAGGCCCATCCCTTTGCAAATGCATTACTGCAAACTATCTAGCTGATGTGCTTTGAGTTAGCATGTTGGAAGCAAGGGTGGAAACACTGTTAGGGCTCGGTTATACTTGCTTCAACTTTAACATACATTAAAGCTCCTACTGATTTCAACATGCTTTTTTGATGCTTCTGTGATGCTTTTTGAAGCTTTAATGAAGCGTGGCAAATGCCCTGTGTTTAT